AAAAAATGCATTATAATTACATTTAAACAATAAATGTAAACATTTCTGTCAATGGAGATTTGTGTCATAGCTTGCGACACGTTTCAGCACGGCAAGATGCTAGGCGGCTGGGGACCATAGATCCCAAAGGGAAAAAAAACTAAGACAGCTGATGAGAACAGAGGAATCAAATGAAAAGGAACGAACCATCTGCTTTCATATGTAATTAAATAATTGAACTTAATTGATCTCACACTGGAGAAATTTAACTCTGCGTTTAACCCATCCCCTTGGGGAGCAGTAGGCTGCCATTGTACGATTCCTGGGGAGCAGTGTGGGGTTAAGCGTGTTCTTCAGAGACTTAGAGTGACAGTCTGTGGGAGTGGGGCTCAAGCTCAGAACCTTAGGATTCCAAGCATTATGCCCTAACCACTAGGCCGCCACTCCCCTTATTACCAATGCGGAAGGATTGCCTGCATGTCTGCTGTGTAATGAGAATGATGAGTCATTTGGAAAGGCATTTCCACGGAAGGCATGCTAAATATGCAGCCGACCACCAAGTTGGGAGTGAGAGAAATGTCGGAATGCAGAACTTCTGGATAAAAAAAAAAAAAAAGAGGAGCGCAAAGATAGATTTAAGAAGAAGATTGCATCTCCAGACTCCACTACTGCTGCTAGTTTAGTTGCAAGCATGGAAACCGTTCACAGGTCCAACAGGTAGCGTTCTGGTGCAGGGATGTGAACTTTCCTCCATTTTCTCCCCCAAATCCTTTAAATAAAAGCAAACTTCTGATATATTTATGTGTCTTTAATTGCATCAATGCAACAAATTATAAGAAATTATTAATATTGTAATGGAATCTAAACTTAAAGCAAAAACAGAACTTTTTTCAATTTTTTCCCCCAAATCCTAAAAATATAAATTGAACCAAGGAGCGCTGGTGACGGAGGATGTGGGATTTCAGGGTTAGAGAGCTCTGCTCAAATGGATGTCAGTTCCTGCTCGGTTCCTCATCACTCAATCAACTCCTCCAAACGGAAACACGTCCACCATAGAAAGATTCCTTTATTGTGTTTCTATAACTTCATCATTGCAACAAAGCTTAAACCTCGTGCTACTATGTGACATTTGCTTCAGGATAAACATTTAATCATGAATGCTTATTATATATTTAAGCCCATATAGTCCGTTTCTATAGGGGGATAATACACTTAGAGCCCGTGTTGCCATACGAGACATATATAAGACATTTATATTTTTGTGGCTCGAAACAGATTTATTTATTTATTTATTTTTTTGGGTCCACTATGGCTCTTTGGGCAGTTTGGGTTGTATAGATGTGCTATACTTTGTTCCTCTCCTTCTGGGAACAGTATTTATGTACGTAATACAATATTTAGAACATAAGACTGGTTTTGATTAGTTGGTTAAATTCTAACACAGTTGTATAAAAAAAGCAGGAGAGAAGTTCTTTATGACGGGTTATGCCAGAACTCCACCTGCTTTCTTCAAAGGGAGTAAAAATCTCAGATTATAATTTGCAACACGTATGTGCTCACATTTGTGGTGTGTCTGAAGACGATGCCTTGGCTGTCGTAGTAGCTGATGGTTTTGGTTGCCATAGTGACTGCGATGAGAGACCAGTGGATTTCTAAATGGATGGGAATCAACAACAACCATTTGGAGAACAAGTCAACCTAGGAGACAAAATAAACAACAATAGTTTAGATGCAAAGAAGAAAAAACATGGAAACAGAGAAACTGAACCTGAATCCGTGAAATCGGCCTTTTTAAAGAAAAGCACCAGCTTCTTCTTAGCATTTGTGTAACTTTTGTTTTTTGTAGCTCTTTTCTGCATAATTCCAATTTGACCAGCGACAGCCATCTATACGTCCATCGCATAATGGCGTCCATGACGCAGAGGCCTGTTCACATTTACCAAAACAGTCCCCAAATCCTACTCTGGATCAAGTTCATATTGAAAGGTGAAGGGATAGGAGCTATAATTTAAGGTATTCGGTAGGGGCGTAAATAATAATCGTTTTGTATCGATGCATCGATCCAACAGCCGACGATCCGATGCATCGACATGTCCGCAAGAGAATCAATTCATGTTTTATTTTTTCCTCCGGTCTATTTTTATTCATTTGCTCCTCGACGTAATTCTCCCTCCCGTGATGCTCAATATTGAAGCATGGTCTGTGCTACACACTGTGGGTCTAGATACGGCCGAGGCGGCGAGGAAGTGGGAGCGAGTTTAGTCCGACAACGGAGGGACATGAGGTCCAAAAAGAGCGGAGATCCAGGTGGAAAAAGGGTCCCAGCGTTCTCGTGCACCTCGCTCTTCTAGTGGGTCAAACTTCAAGAGTTGTTTTCCCCAATTTCGGTCATAAAAACAAAACAAGCCGGCCTCCTGTCTGCGGCACTGTCTGCGGTCNGAACTTTTTTCAATTTTTTCCCCCAAATCCTAAAAATATAAATTGAACCAAGGAGCGCTGGTGACGGAGGATGTGGGATTTCAGGGTTAGAGAGCTCTGCTCAAATGGATGTCAGTTCCTGCTCGGTTCCTCATCACTCAATCAACTCCTCCAAACGGAAACACGTCCACCATAGAAAGATTCCTTTATTGTGTTTCTATAACTTCATCATTGCAACAAAGCTTAAACCTCGTGCTACTATGTGACATTTGCTTCAGGATAAACATTTAATCATGAATGCTTATTATATATTTAAGCCCATATAGTCCGTTTCTATAGGGGGATAATACACTTAGAGCCCGTGTTGCCATACGAGACATATATAAGACATTTATATTTTTGTGGCTCGAAACAGATTTATTTATTTATTTATTTTTTTGGGTCCACTATGGCTCTTTGGGCAGTTTGGGTTGTATAGATGTGCTATACTTTGTTCCTCTCCTTCTGGGAACAGTATTTATGTACGTAATACAATATTTAGAACATAAGACTGGTTTTGATTAGTTGGTTAAATTCTAACACAGTTGTATAAAAAAAGCAGGAGAGAAGTTCTTTATGACGGGTTATGCCAGAACTCCACCTGCTTTCTTCAAAGGGAGTAAAAATCTCAGATTATAATTTGCAACACGTATGTGCTCACATTTGTGGTGTGTCTGAAGACGATGCCTTGGCTGTCGTAGTAGCTGATGGTTTTGGTTGCCATAGTGACTGCGATGAGAGACCAGTGGATTTCTAAATGGATGGGAATCAACAACAACCATTTGGAGAACAAGTCAACCTAGGAGACAAAATAAACAACAATAGTTTAGATGCAAAGAAGAAAAAACATGGAAACAGAGAAACTGAACCTGAATCCGTGAAATCGGCCTTTTTAAAGAAAAGCACCAGCTTCTTCTTAGCATTTGTGTAACTTTTGTTTTTTGTAGCTCTTTTCTGCATAATTCCAATTTGACCAGCGACAGCCATCTATACGTCCATCGCATAATGGCGTCCATGACGCAGAGGCCTGTTCACATTTACCAAAACAGTCCCCAAATCCTACTCTGGATCAAGTTCATATTGAAAGGTGAAGGGATAGGAGCTATAATTTAAGGTATTCGGTAGGGGCGTAAATAATAATCGTTTTGTATCGATGCATCGATCCAACAGCCGACGATCCGATGCATCGACATGTCCGCAAGAGAATCAATTCATGTTTTATTTTTTCCTCCGGTCTATTTTTATTCATTTGCTCCTCGACGTAATTCTCCCTCCCGTGATGCTCAATATTGAAGCATGGTCTGTGCTACACACTGTGGGTCTAGATACGGCCGAGGCGGCGAGGAAGTGGGAGCGAGTTTAGTCCGACAACGGAGGGACATGAGGTCCAAAAAGAGCGGAGATCCAGGTGGAAAAAGGGTCCCAGCGTTCTCGTGCACCTCGCTCTTCTAGTGGGTCAAACTTCAAGAGTTGTTTTCCCCAATTTCGGTCATAAAAACAAAACAAGCCGGCCTCCTGTCTGCGGCACTGTCTGCGGTCAGCTACAATTTGGGAGAGGTGCAGCGGAGCGTCTGTGGAGGGGGCGGGGACGCCTGGAGCCGAGGTATTAAATTGCACTCATTGCTCTGATTTTGTGCAGTATTTTTTAATGCAAAGCCTTTCAGAATCTATAACGCAGGAGAAATATTATTTTTCAGTGAATGAGGTTTTAATAGGAATAGGTGGAGTGCAACTTTTCTACTTCTGTTATTTGCTGTAGTTTCTCAAAAAAAAAATGCATAACCATATTACAGCTTTTATTGATTTATTTCAAATTTGAAACATTGTCTAGCCTGTAAGGGGAAAAAAAAAAAAAAAAACCAATTAATCGAATCGAATCGTTTTGTGGTGTATTCTTTAGTATCGAAAATAATCGAATCGTTGGGTCAGGAAATCAATACTGAATCGAATCGCCATGATGGATGCGATTTACACCCCTAGTATTCGGGTTGAGCCAGAGGGGAATTTTGTTTCGCTCTAACTGGTGTAACCAGTATGGAAACATGCTGTGGATAAAAAATACAAAACAAATTTCCTGTAGCAATAAAATATAAAACCCTCAATCAGAGGTACAGTTTGTCTTAAAAGTTTACACACCCTCCTATTAAAGAACACAATTAATTCACACTAGAAATTCAAGTAACACAAAAATTGGATAAATAATAAACAACCTTTTACTAAATTATAACTTAGAAAAATCAATTCAGTGATAACCTCAAAGTGTTGCTTAACAACATTTTAGTTCTGGATCTCCGTCAGGCGTGTTTACTTGAGAAAAACCAGACTGTTGCTGGATGGTATCATTTTGAATTGGCATAATTTTTCTTTTTCTTTTAAATATTGTTGTTTTACTTTTACATTGTTCTTTTTGTTAATTTGTTTATTTCATATGTAGGAAATACTCTGACCCACAGAATGACACATTATATGATTGAGTCAGAATGAATCTAAAAGGGACAGCAGCAGAGCTTTAACTTTCTCATTGTGCTAACTGAAAATTATTAAAAATAGAAAGAAAAAAAAGTTTATTACGGCTTGACTTGTTCCAAGTTAAAACAAAATATTTAAAGGATTTATATAAACAATATCAATGGATCTAAAAAAAACTCATCTATTACTGAAGGACAGTTTGTTTATGCAGAGGTTTGGCTCTAATGTGTGACTTAATCACAGGTCTGTTGTTGATGAAAAGTGGGTGACTTCACGTTGCTCCCATTCCAGTTTACTTCAATGTTGTTGCTATAAAGTTTGGCTCGAGTATTTTCACTCCAGTAAAACAAAAAAAGAGTTTTAAATCAATCAATCCACCCTCTGCCAATAGTAGAACCATGTCTTTGAAACCAGTCAACCTTTCCAGCATCCATTCTGCTGAGACTATGGAGTAAGCTACTTATCTGACCACCACTGACACACAGTCTGTGTCCGAACCTCCGCCCTAACCCCTAGATCCCTCCATTGCTATATTTATGGTGAACTCCTTTCGGACAGATGATCAATACTCTCCGCTCCCTTTTGGTCAAGTAAAGCCGCCTCCACCCTGCGGTGCCAGCTGCATCTTTAATAGTCGCCGCAGTCGGGTAGCGACTAGGGGTGTAAATCACATCCATCATGGCGATTCGATTCAGTATCGATTTCCTGACCCAACGATTCGATTATTTTTGATACTCAAGAATACACCACGATACTATTCCATTTTTTTCATTGGTTCATTTTTTTTTTCTTCTTTTTAACACCTTACAGGCTAAACAAAGTTTCAAGTTTGAAATAAATCAATGAAAGCTGTAATATTGTTATGCATTTTTTTTTAAACAACAGCAAAAATAACAGAAGTAGAAAAGTAGAAAAAAAAAATACTGCACAAAATCAGTGCAATGGGTGCGATGCAATACCTCGGCTCCAGATGTCCCCGCTCCCTTGAGAGACGCTCCGCTGCTCCTCTCCCAAATTGTAGCTGACCGCAGACAGTGCCGCAGACAGGAGGCCGGCTTGTTTTGTTTTTATGACCGGAATTGCAGAAAACAAATCGTGAAGTTTGACCCGCTAGAAGAGCGAGGTGCGAGAGAACGCTGAGACCCTTTTTCCACCTGGATCTCCGCTCTTTTTGGCCCTCATGTCCCTCCGTCGTCGGACTAAACTCGCCCCCACTTCCTCGCCACCTCGGGCGTATCTAGACCCACAGTGTGTAGCACAGACCACGCTTAAATACTGAGCATAATTTAAAAATGTCTGCATCAAGCTCACTGCAACACAATGCTGCAGGAGTATAACCAGGAAGCGAGCTAGGAGGGCAAAATAGGTTTAGCGCCACCGCAGCACGGGAGGGAGAATTACTCCCAGGAGCAAATGGATAAAAATAAACCGGAGGAAAAAAAAGAAAAATTAATCGATTTTCTTGCGGACGTGTCGATGCATCGGATCATCGGCTGTTGGATCGATGCTTCGATACAAAACGATTATTATTTACACCCCTAGTAGCGACAGCACATGGCAACAGACAGCCAATGTGATAGCAAATCCCATGAGGCTTTGCGAGGAGAGCTGTTCACGCAAAGCATTCCGGGATATATCTGCTCGTCTAGTAACCATGGATGATCACTACTTTTCATGGTGCATTGTGGGATATTTCAAGTATATTTCTAGATATTCGTACACTGATCTAAAACGGTGTAACAACTTTAAAGTGCTCTATATAGTGGTTAGGACGGACATTCAGACACAGCCACTCTCCCAGCTGTTAGCTAACAGATTATTATGCTACCTGTCAACCTAGCAACCTCTTCAGTGTGTATGCTTTGGTTCGATTAGCTGTTTAAAACGCTCTATAGCGCAAATAGTATAGATTGCTCTTTCTCAGCTATGCGACTTAGCCAAAGCCAAACTATTCTCTTACATATAATTTCTTATTGGTCTTGAAGTTATTGAAGTTGTAATTATATTAAATCTTTCTAAGATGTTTCTCTAGAGATTGTATTGAGGAACAGCCATAAGGAGCCAAACTTACTTTTTTGGTCCATCTCTTCACGCCATCATAACCTTTGGCAACCAGCTGCTTGTAGAAAAAGCTGTTGAAGAAATGAACCTAAAGGAGCAAGAGGAAAAGGATCAAAAACAACCAGAGTTAAATATTTGAACATTCATTAAATTCATTTTAAATAGCTATGGTTAGAAGTCAACCTTTACTAAAGCATTTTAAATGTTCTTTTGAGGAGTTTAAAATAAAAGATCTTCAGTGACTTTCTTTATTGAGAAATAGGTGCAAAAGTTTCGATTTATCTTCCTTTACTTTCTTTCCTTTATTGCTCCTTTAAAAGCTATTTGCAAAACTCACTTATTTGGGCAGTTCCCCTTGCAAGATTGGAATTTAAGCATAGTTCATCTCGTCTTAAACAGGTTAGGAACCAAATTTGTCTCTGAGGTTAAGAGATAATCCAGAAACAAAATGTTGCTTTCTTTATTAATTCCCAATCCAGTTTGGATGCATGATTGGGATTATGTCTGTGTAGGAAAAGGCCATCTGTGTCCTTAATGTTACCATCTCATTATGCAAACTCAATGTACGAACAAACGTGTCAATGTCCACATTGAAGTAAATGTAATGGCGTTATGGTCATAATCAAGTGATGACTGATGATAATACATTTATGAGGGTCTATTTATTGATGGTTGAATGGGTTCATTGCTCAAAGACACTAAATAAGACACTAGGAAGAGCCAAATTCTTTAACTTTATTTTAAAAAGCTGGGAGCTTGAACTCTGTATTGGAACCGGTTCTGGAATGAAATAAAAGGCTTGGATTAACCCCAACAGAACCCCCTCCTCTAAGCCCTGACGATACAGAATATGTAAGACAGGCAGCATAAGGCAAGTTAAATTCAAGACTTTTTAATGCCACTTGAAAAAAAAATTTTAAGACCAAATTCA